TATGATTTATTCATATACTTGTTTCGTTAAGAAGTATGACATAACCATAGATTTTCCATTTTAAACGTCTCTAGGGGTAAAAATATTGAATTCAGAGAATTGTGCCCATTAAGACTTTTGTTCGGAACGTAGAGGACAACATATTTCAGTTTCAATCAATTTAACCGGGGGCACATTTTACATAAGATCTGTGCGGGGTCCTTTATTTTTTATGAAGAAAAAGAGCCAGCGGTATTTAAAAAATACGAAAATCACACTGTACATTTGATTAATTAAAAAGGAATTTCTTTTACAATGCGGTAAATAATAAAAAAAACCGCAAGTATACATCATGATGTTTATTCAACCTATAAATATCTAAGCTGATGGTGATTTGAAAGATGTATTTTGTCACGATATGGTATAGATCGAGAAATAATAGCTTAGCAGAACTTCCATCGATTTCCGCATTCATTACACAACACGAAAGTAGTCATCGGTTCATCAGCTGAACGTGTTTGCACCTGATTGTAAGTGCAGTTACGCTTCTTGCATTTGCCGCACTTGAGCAAGTCGGTCTTGGTTCCTTGTACAGTGGCGAGTTGTGCATCGTTGATAGCCTCCTTCTTGAATTGTTCACGTAGCTGCTTGATCTCATCACTCGCCATCTCCTCCGCCGTCATCACCGCTAGCCTAGCGGGCGTGATCGCACCTACCAAGAAGTTCGTCCGTAAATTGGGATTCTTCGCATCACGCAGATTGGCAACTCTGCTGCGTACCTGTATTCAAATGCACAAAATTAAAAATACCTTAATGCAATTGGTATAGATATATACATTATATACTGCTAATCATCAAAAATTATAATATCGAAAAAACACGAGATATCAAAGTGATATTTTTATGTGATAAGATTACGTTACATGGAATTGAATATATGGAGAATATATAAAGTTTAGAAATATAGCTTGATATTTTTTAGAGGTACAGTTTATTTTTATATTCTACCGTGATATAGTCTACCGTTTTATATTCTTCATCTTACAAATTTCAGCTCAATATATTTTTTTCCATTGTTGCATTTTAATGGCCAGCGGTATATGTAAAAAAAACTTTATATACGAGATAATAAAATATGTTTAATTACCCTATTTTTGTATCTGTTATCGGTATTTTTAAATTCTGCATAGATTGCTTCCTCCAATTCTTCCGCTAATTCTTCTGGACTAGCACATCCATCGACAACTTTTCCATCAACATGTAAAGCTGACGCTAACAGCTCTCTACATTTTAATCTGACTGCATCTGTTGTGGTAGGAGCAGGGAAAGACGCTTGTTTCCTTTGAATGTCTTTGACAGGTTTCTCTTCCTTCACTTTTGCGTCGACAACATCCATTGTATCTTTCTCCTTCTTCTGATCGCTTTCTTCCTTTATTTTGTCTGGTTTTTCGTCCTTCTTTTTTGAACTACTCGACGACGTAGAGTCTTTCTCTTTATTTGACCCTAATATTAAATAAATTATTAATTACATTTAGAATGATTATTAATGATTTGTATATAAAAATCAATTATATTTTGTTATATTATATATATATATATATTTATTTATTTATATATACCAGATAAGAACTTTTTCCAGTTCTTAATAAGTGTCTTCGATAAAGAAATAACTTCTTCGTCTCTACTTGATTTCCTCAAGGCGTTCACAGTCATTCCAATGCGTGTCTTAGTCAAAAGTTCTAGGTCAACAGGCAATTTTTGAAGTACTTTGAGCAATTCCAAAGCCTGTTCCTGGCCCTGATTGACAGAGATGTCATATTACAACCATTGTGTACAGTATTTTTGCTTTAGTACTTACATTAAGATGCCTACATATTGATATTTTATCTCATTTTTCAGAAATATAATTATGGTACGCGGAAACAAGGAATCACAGCGGGACTACACTTTTTAAAAACGAATGATTCAATCTAATTCTACGAAAATATCCTCGTAAAAATTACCTTGTAACAAAAGATAAGCAATGAATATAAAATCACACGATGTAAGAATATCAAGTATTCAATTTTTCCGATACGGAAGATACATGTGGCATAAATTGGACGCCATACGACACCGTGTTCCGCGAGTAAATAAAGCGTGTTGCCTCCGCAATATTGTGGCGATCTTGTTTGTGCGGCTATTCGCGTTTATGCACCGAAAAAATGCTCGTGCTCGAAAGACAACGTGCGCTTTCCTCGCGTTGAACGACCTGTCTTAATGCGCGCCTACTCCGGCCAGTATACATACTGCGATCTTTATTTTACTCACTTATTACTCACCGTCCCGTCACCGCTTGACATCTTGTTGAGCTTTTTCTGGATACGCAACACTTCCTCCTCGGCGCTCATCGTCGGTGATCACTTACCACACGGCTCGCTGCTTGCTTGTTGCACGAAATCAGTTATAAATACAAATATAAATAGGCGCGAATGCGAACAACAACACCCTTTTCGACGCTCACGGCTCACAGCCGTGTCTCGCAATGTTATGGCACTTATGGCCGAAACATAAGGGTTCGTTCCCACTGAGCGCGTCATGGCGTCGCGTTATCCGAATTGACCAATCAAAACATCTCATTTTATTGCGTAATTTGCCGCGCAATCCTGGATTTCATACAAAAAAAGATTATTTTATCTCTGGAACATGGAGGTAAGAAATAACAGGAGGGAGTGTAAGGCCTTTTTATTGGTGGGGATTACTATGCCGAATGTGATTGATTGGCCACAGTAATATGGCGTTTTATACAAACATTGGAGTTCGGGATTACTACGCCAAATG